TATGGAAAGGAGGAAGGAAATGTGTTTTGTAGTGGGAAGTGGAAAGAGGTTCCCTCTTGTGTTTGGAGACCACTGTTTGATCAGGGTAGAGAAACATCGCAGGGCTTCCCCCTGAAGTTTACTGTGAGGAATAGCACTTTGTGCGTGAGGGCAAGGTTGGGGAGGAAGAAGCCTTGCCCTCCTGTTAAGAGCAAGGGGAGTGGGTGCCTCGGGCTGTTTCCGTCACCAGCCCCTTACTCTGAATGTGCCCTGGTGAGCTTCCCTTATCAGAAAGCTGGGCAGCCATACACTGGCATTCCCCCCTAACTTCCCTTTCCTCCACCTCCCCTTCCACCAGCCCAGTGCTGCTCTGAGAGGCTGCAGGGTCCTGGCATTTACCATAGGGGTGGCCTTCAGGCTCACGGCATATTCAGAGATAATGGGGTTCAATCTGCCCGACTGGAGAACCTTAGACACCCGTGCCACAGGAATGCAAGTTATGGTTGCAAACTTAGGACATCGAGGCGATGTCCTTGACATGTTTTATTGAATTTTAATTCAAACAGTCATAAAAATAAAATAAAATAAAATAAAATAAAATAAAATAAAATAAAGAGGGGTTCCAGCATCAGGTTGCCCCGTTCATATTCTTGTTTCATCACCACCAGATGTGCAACATTGGACAAATTGTTGAACTTCTGTGCAGACTTCAGTTTCCTCACCTGTATAAAACGGAGACTGGAAGCATCACAGTAATAAGGGACTTGGTGAGGATTTGTTGAGTTGGATGCACAGGAAGTGCCTAGAATGGTGCCTGGCACATGGTCAGCACACAGGAAATGGAGGCCGTTGTTATTTTTGTTAGAATTTTCCTTTATAGAAAATGAAGTTTTAAATGGGGTGTTTAACTGTCGTCCTAGCCCAAATGTCCATAGTTTATAAATCTGAAACTTCAAAACCTAAAATAGAAAATACTCAAACACTCCTACCCAAGCATTTTTAAAGTTAACATCTTGTTAATTTTGCTTTAGATTTTTTAAATTTTATTTTAGAAAGAGAGGGGGAGGGAGAGTGAGAAACATCGATTTTTTGTCCCACTTCTGTATGCATTCATTGGTTGATTCCTGTATGTGTCCTGACTGGAGATGGAACATGCAACCTGGGTATATTGGGACGACAGTCTAACCAACTGAGGTACCCAGCCAGGGCCTTTGCTTTAGATTTTATACAGATAAAATTAAAGAATTGAAGTAGCTTATATTTCCTCACTACCTCCACTAAAGGAGAATTTGAAGTGAATCAGATATACAGTATATAGAATACATAGCATCATATTCTAAGTACCTTTCTGGATTTGCTTTTTGTTGTTGTTGTTAAACTTTATAAAATTGGACACCTACGTTGATGTATATCGAGCTATATATTTATTTTGTAGGAATCAGCCACAGTTTATTTATTCATCCCCCCATTAATGTGTGTTTGGGTGGTTTTTAATGTTATTAAAAGCAGTTTGGCAATAACCACCTGTGCATGTCTCCTGTTGGACTTGGGCGGAAGGTGCTTGATGATGCATAAAAGAAGTGAGATTGTCCAAGTGTATGTGCATTTCCATCTTTACTAGACATTCCCAAACCGCTGTCTGCAACGCCTGTGAATTGATAGTCTCATCAGAAGCAAATGAGAATCCCCACTCAATGTCCCCCCTGGTCCTTGGGTCTGCCGGTTGTTTTCGTTTTTGCAGATCTGCTCTGTATGAAAGTACACGTTGTTTTAATTAGCACATCCCTGACAACCAGTAAGATGGAGCATTTTCTTACGAGTTATTGACTAAGTTTCCTCTCCTGTGGATTTTCTGTTCACATTCTGTGCCCTTTTTTATTTCTCTAAAAGGCCATTTTTCTTTTTCTGTTCATTGATTTTGTCTTATTTTGTTTTGTTCTGGAAAACAGGCAGGGTAGCCTGTTAGTCAATTTAGTCATTTTTAAATGCATATTCTTTACTTAAATTCTAAAGATTTATTATTATTTAATAATACATCATGAATTTACCGAAGGACAACATTTCTAATTATATTGCTGATTGCCTCTTGTGTTCTGTCACCAGGGAAATTGCTTCCATTGTCCCAAAGAAGGTTGCCCAACGATGGGTCATTTTGCTGACAAATTCCACCTCAAAAATAAGAAGCCTAATAGGCCGTATTATTTCTTAAACACCGGGGCTCTTTCCCCATTTGCCCGTAAGTATTACAGCTCAGTTTTATTGTAAAGCTTTAAGGTTCTTATCTTTTCAATTCTGACCGTTTTTACTGAGGGTCTACTAAACAAGTGGCCACTGGGCCAGACTTTGAGGACGCCCTGAGGAACAATGGTGTGAGTTTGGGCTAATGGGGAAGATGTGCAAAAACTACAAAAATCTCAGTTTCAGTAAAACTTGTGTTAGGAGACAGAGGAGGGAACTTCCATAGCCAGGTCAGGGAGCTTCTGGGGGAAAGCATTTTCTAACCTGAGCCCTCAAAGCGGTGGCAGGAGAAGGAACTGCCTGGAGGTCACAAGTGGCACTGAAGGACCCTGTGGGGGTGACAGAGACCAGGAGGAGAATCATGTGAGAGGAGGCTGAGAGACACACGGGTCAAAGAATGAAACTGCACCACGTGGGGCTTAAGGCTCTGTCTTTGGGCTCAGGGAAGCCACCGAGGGGTATTAAGATGATCAGATTTGCTTATTTTAGAAAAATCAGTCGAAGGAGTTGCTGCCGGGATCAGCAGGGACAAGGTTGAGGCAGGGTGTCCTGTTAGGACAGGGTTGACTCCCCACGGTGTGAGGGGATGGATGTGTGAACTAACTGTGTTGTGCTCATCATTCCACAATACCTGTAGTCTAGCAAATCATCTCCTTATGTGCTTTAAATCCCAGTGTTATCTGTAAGTATTACCCCAACAAAGCTGGGGGGATAGAAGGGTGGAGAAAAAGGACATTCCTGTTGTTGCAGGAATCCAGGCAGAAGCGGAGAGAATACAGAGATGGTTAGGAGGTGGCAGCAAAAAGGAGCGTGGAGAGTGGATTTGAGGGGTGCAGGAAATGAGTCTCGGTGATTCTGGCTGAGTGGGTTGATGTGCCATTTTCTGCACATTTTAGCACGAGAAAAGAGACATGCTCTCTCTTATCTGTGGAACCTCAGGAACAAAATGAATTGACCAACAAAATAAGAGCCGAAGCAGGGAGGCATGGAACAGACTGACATACTCGATGTGGGGTTGAGGGACGAGAAGAGAACTTACGTACTTATATGCATAGCCCATGGACCCGGGTAATAGGGGGTGAAGACCTGGGGGGACGGGACAGGAGATATCTGTAATAACATCAACAGTAAAAAAATATATTTGAAAATGAAAAATAAACAAATGAAAGGAGACTAAAGAAAAGAAAAGAGGCTGGTTTGGAGTAAGTTGACAGGCTCGGTTCTAGCACGTGGGGGGGGAGAAGCCTATGGACTTGCCCACCAGGCAGTGAGAGATGCGGGTCTCGGCCTCTGGAGATGGCTGTGGGCTAAGGGCAGAGCCTTCAGCCGCTGAGTTTCTCCAGTAATCAGAGCTGGCAAGTCAACGATGTTAGCCCCCCACAAAGAGTCTCAGATGGAGAAGAAAGGGAGCCAAGTCAGAGGCCCCCGCCAAGGAGGCCGAGGAATGGGCAGGGGGAGAAGGGGACTCGGTGGGGCAGTAGTTAAAGGAGCCCAGAGAAGAAAGGTGGTGAGGAAGGTGGGGAGGGGGTGGATTTCATTCCCTGCACCACAGGGGCTGAAAGGTCAAGGGGGACAGGACTCCAAAGGGCTCGTGGGATGAAGCACCCAAGTGGTCATTGGTGAGCCTGGGGGCAGTGGTGTATTTGAAGTGACTGTGGGAGTCTTAGTGCTTGCTGTGGAATGGGCTGAGGAAGGGAAAGAGAACTCTTGGCCAATAATTCACTCATGAATTGAAAATTCTCTAGTCTAGTAAGATTTTCTCCCCTTTCAGATGCTTTTCAAACAACTTTATGAAGGATTGCATTTTTCAACATGTTATTAAGCATAAGCATGTAGTGATTACAGAATTCAGAAGGAAAAATCTGTTTAGCTCTACGGTTTTTAAAATAACACTTGCCCATTTGCAAGAGATTTATCCTACCAGCAGGTTTGTGCTGACCCAGACCAGTACTAGCCAGGCCTTCCTAGTTCATGTCGCACAGGAGAGAGGCAACAGTCCACTCCGCCTCTAAAGTAACCATACAGCACAGACCTTGCCCAGTGGGGTTTCTAGATTTTTTCCAGATTCATTGTCAAACTGTGGCCTGTAAAAACCTGGCTGTGGAGCATAACACGTGCCATAGAATAGGAAAGGAATGGATAGAAGAGGACACACAACATCCATTTTGAAACCTCATGAGAGTGCATGGAACATTGACGAATATTCTTTCTGTAAGATTATTAAACTATTTACTTGTGGGAAGTTGAAATGAGAGCATTTATATATATTTTAAGTATATTTTTATTGATTTCATATAAGAAGAGAGGGAAAAAGAAAGATAGAAATATCAATGATGAGAGAGAAGCGTTGATTGGCTGCCTCCTGCATGCCCCACACTAGGGATTGAACCCACAACCTAGGCATGTGCCTTGACGTCCTGGTTCATAGGTCGATGCTCAACCACTGAGCCACTCTGGCTGGGGTATGTGTGTTTTTGAATGTCATTTTTCACCAAATTCACTCAAGCAATCTAAAGTTGTATTCTTTCTCATGAACATGAGCAGCCTTGTACCACTCTAACCCTGAACATTACAAAGTGTCATTTACATTAAAACGCCAGGATGGCATGCTTTTTGCATAGTTTTAACCCTTCATTCTCTCTCTTGCTCTTTCAAGGTTGGAGGCACAAATTGTCTGTCACACTCAATGGAAGCAATGTCACTGAGGGGAGCATCTTTCTCCGTGTCGGTGGGACGACTGGGAAGACGGAGGAGTTTGGGGTGGCCAGGTAGGCAAGGCCGAGGCCCGGCAGGTAACATGGTGCTGGGCCCCGGTTTCACTGGCTGGGTGAGCAGCTCCGTGTCGCCTTTTCCTCTCATACCTCAGGCTGCCATGTTTTATGTGACTCATCTTTTTACTTCAAGCTACCAGCAGACAGTGTTAGGAAATGAAAACGCAGACATAGACAATAGGTGTGTGGGGAAAAGTTGTCAAGAGTGCCAGCAAGAGGGCGCTTCTGCAGCCTCCACTCGGGTGGCGGGGGCCCGCGCGCAGCGGGGGGAAAAGTGCAGGAATAGACGCGCACGGCGAGTGGCGAGTGGCAGACGCGCCCTGCGCGCTCGCTTCCCGGGGCGCGTGAGCGAAGCCAGGAAAAAGACCTGAATCTGTTCACATAGATGTTTTATGCTATGACAATCATTATTGAAATAGAGTGTGAAGGCCGTGAGAAGCAGCGGTCTCTCTCTGTTTCCCTGGGGCCACTGTCCCCGGAGAGGGAATGGGAGCTTTCTGGACCCTGAGATGAAGGCCTTCTTGGAGGAGAACACTGAAGTCACCAGCAGTGGCAGCCTCACCCCTGAGATCCGGTTGCGACTTTTGACCCCCAGATGCAAGTTTTGGTGGGAAAGAGCTGACCTGTGGCCCCACAGCGATCCTTACTGGGCGATCTACTGGCCAGGAGGCCAAGCCCTGTCTAGGTATCTCTTGGATAATCCTGATGTTGTCAGAGGAAAATCTGTGTTAGATCTCGGGAGTGGATGCGGAGCTACGGCTATCGCTGCTAAGATGAGTGGGGCATCGAGGATCTTGGCCAATGACATAGACCCTATTGCAGGAATGGCTATCACACTAAATTGTGAATTGAACCAACTGAAACCTTTTCCCATTTTAACCAAAAACATTTTGGATTTGGAACAAGATAAGTGGGACCTTATTGTGCTTGGAGATATGTTTTATGATGAAGACCTTGCAGATAGTCTTCATCGATGGCTGAAGGATTGCTTTTGGACTCACAAAACTCGAGTACTGATTGGTGACCCAGGCCGGCCCCAGTTCAGAGGACACAGCATTCAGCATCAGCTGCACAAAGTGGTAGAATATTCACTTCCAGAACCTACTAAGCAGGAAAACAATGGACTGACAATAAGCACCGTGTGGGATTTCCAGCCCTGAATTGTCAAAATGCTTCCAAGTGTGGATACACCTATGTTTGAAGAATGCAGTTCCTGTGAAATGGCAAATCTTGTTTCCAAAATATGAAGATTTAGACTTTTGTCATGTAACTAGTTCTGCATTATGCCAAATATACAATTCTTTATCTGTAATTTTTTTCTAGTTTTACTGCTATCGGAATATAATTATAGAAGGCAGTAAGTGGTAGCAATAAGTAAATTGGGGAGAGAATTAGATATTGTAGCTGAGTCGGTTTCTGTAGTTGAGGACAACTATGTGATGTGTTGAATTAAACAAACAAAAATATAAAATATAGAAGACTATAGTATTTAGTACATAATAGGGTCTTAATGGACAACCAGGGATACCCCAACATACTCTGTACTGACACCATATGCCTCTTTATGGCTTACTAAGGTTAATTAGAAATTGGTTATGCCACCACTACACATCCCAGGTTTATAGAATCTTACGTATTAAAAAAAACAAACCATTATGATATAAGAGAGTAACAATGTGAAGGAGAATGTGTTTAGAATACCACTGTGCAAAAAAGATGTATGTATATATTGAGGAAAAGAATGAAGATAGGGCCCTTGCCAGTCTGGCTCAGTGGATAGAGCATTGGTCCTGGGTTCAATTCCATTCAAGGGCAACCAATCGATGCAATGCTTCTCTCACTCTGTCTCTCCCTGCCCCTTCCACTCTCTCTAAAAAAAATCAGTGGAAAAATATCCAATAAATAAAATTTGGGAAGAGTGCCAGCAAGAGAGAGAGAGTTATCCTGCTACCCAGTCCCTTTAATATTATACAGACCCGGCATTTGTTTTCACTTGTGAAAATTTCAAATGACTTATAAAATGCAACTTTCTCTTCCATGGTACACATGCGGATGCCTTTCACTGCGACATTGTGAATTCCCAGTGCAGGAGAATGAGTCTTATTTCTCTCTTGACAGTGGAACACTTCAGCCCGGCATGACCTATACAAAATTAATTGATGCAGAAGTTAATGTTGGCAACATCACAAGTGTTGAGTTCATCTGGAAGGAACATTCATTTAGGCGTTCCCGGAATAAGTTGGGAGCAGGCATGGTGGTAGATATATCTGGGAAGTATGGACGTGAGTAAGTATTACTTTTCCCTTTGCATTTCCAAACTTCGTTTAAATTTCATAAGTGGGATTTGAAATTATACCCACGTATAATTTGAAATTTGCAACTAGTATAAAAATGTGTACATCTTAAAATTTTGCAATTAAAATAAAGAAACGTTATTTGAGAAATGAATACTATCTTTGCAAAAATGTTTACAAAATAATACTTATTCATTCAAAGATCTACCTATGTCTTTTTCCCTTGGATTCCTATTAATATCATTTTTCCCCCTTTCAATTTCTCAGATCTACCTTCTGTAGCCAGGACATGAAGGGACCTAATATTGTCCAAATCCTGAAGCCATGCTAATCCGAGATACAGTCTTGATGGATTTATTTAATGGGAGCGTGAAATATAATCTCCTTTTGGTTGGTAACCAGACTCAACGTGGCCTTTGTAAATGAGATAGAAAAGTACAGTTGTTTTTTTCTGTATAGAATGTTTTTCTCATTGGTGAACTTTCACATGTGCCTTAAAAATAGACTGAATTCTAGGACAGAGTATAGGACTGACGCCTATAGGAATCAGGAAATCAATGACAAAACAGAGCTGGGCTGGAACTTCCCCGGGTGAGAGGAGGTGACATGACAGTTTGGTGAGGTATATTTTGAGTATTTCCAGGAAGAATAATCATTGTTCTAAAATGATTTAAAGAATATTTATTATGTTCAACCTTGCTAAGACAAGTTGTGGCTAGAGTTCATGATATATACTTTATAACCCTGTGGGTTGGTATGTCTACCTATTAATAATGAAAACTAATGGGAATACATTAGTGTTTCCAAAGTTTTCCTTGGCCTTCAGGGTAAGTGTGAGATAAGAGAGATTTTGGAGCTTAACTATGGTGTGTGCCTCAGTTAGCAATGGGCCCTGAGCATCAGCAGCCCCTTCTAGAACTGACCCTCCTCACACAGAAGGTCTCAACTCCCTGGGCCTTGAAGGCCTAGATACATACTATTTAGCCTGAAGGCAGCATTTCATTTGTAAAGCACTTGACTAACCCTTTGTGTCTGCAATAATAAGATTGTCATATTTAAATGTCAATTGTTGTTTTTTTCTCTTATTTTGCTTCAATTTCTTCTGATTCGCTTGTCCTTCTCCGGGGAAATGAAAGATGCATGTTTTTATCCCTCTGCTTTCTGTTGCTGGGCCTGGTGTTCAGCTCACAGCACTGAGCTGCACATATTGTTGAGAAGAAAAGATGACAGATACCCACGGGTGGACAGAAACTCGACCTGTGGCAAAGAGCAGAGAACAGAGTGGGTGCAAGTGGGAGGTAGAAGACTGATTGGTGGAAGGAGGAGAGGAGATGGCATGTCAGGCTGAGGCCTAGGCCAGCCTGGGAGCAGGGTGGCCATGAGCACTGTCCCCAGTTGGAGGATCCCCGCCCTACTGCGTTGCAGCCAGTTGGCCATGGAGTTGGGTCTCAGAGGGGACGGGGGAACCTTAGTGTGAGAGCAGTTGTCCAGAGGTTGCATAGCTCTCTACGTTGCCTGGCTTCCTTTTGGAAGGGCTCACCGGCCCAGAGGAAAAGTCATGAGTCAGGACATGGCATTAGGCTCTGGGAGTCCTGGCCAGCCTCCGTGCCCAGGAGGTCTCCTGGCCAACTCTTTCTGAGCTTGAAAAGGCAAGTGGGAGTCCATTTCTGGGAACCCTGCTTTAATCAAATATGGACTTTTTGTCCCAGTTCTTCATATCTGCCCCCCCCCCCCACCTTGCATTATAAGAATATGGTGAGGATGACAAATAGTGCATGGCCTCTCTAGGCAAAGGGATGCTGAAAATTCTAGGAGACAATGCTATTATCTGTGTGTACTGTTGCCTAGGACAGCAAAATGCTGCTTTTCTCTCCGAGGGCCCTGTACTACAGTGGCATGGTGTTTGGGGCCTGCAAATGTTCGGGAGCGGTCTGTTAGAAAGTTCTGCTCTTGCCATTCATGCTGCAAGTGACTTACAATCCAATTAGCCGATTACTTCCTCCACTCCCTCTTCCCATTGGTTCATCGTATCACCCACAAACGCCTATCTCCAAACTTGCTAACGGGAGCGTCCCCCACTCCAACCACAACAGCCCTCTTTGGGCTCACGAAGTGACATTCCCAGATGTCTTTGTGAACTCTGATCCCTTAACCTTCTGCTTTCTTGAAGTCCACCAACCCGTTTATACCCAGCTTAAGTTGCATGATTATTTCGTTCAGTAATAACGCCTATCTACACCCTCAGCTGCCTGTTTTTTGTTTGTTTGTTTGTTTGTTCGTTTTTTGGCATCCTGTCAGGCAAAACATCAACCTGAATGTACCTAGTGTTTCTCTTTCTCTCAGCAGCACCCTGACAGTTGAGTGCTATTGGGACAAATGGCATCATGGGGAGAACATACATGATTATAAACTGGTCAACAACACTGTTCTGAAATCTTGTTCTTTTGGTTTTTAGATTTTGGTTTTTATATACCTCCTATCCTGAATCTCCTCCTGCTTTATACAGAAAACAGAAGTCATCAAGAGAGCAAATCTCTCCTCTTTTTGGTCCAAACATACCGAGTACCTACATCTGCATCCACTCCTTCTTTTTCTTTCTACTTGGGCAGCTGCCCCTCTCCTAGCCAAGGCCAATGCCTGCCTGTCCGTTGGCTCTCATCCTCTCCTCCTTTCTTGGGACCCTTATCCAATTGGTTACATTTTCTTTCTTTTGTTTATTCAAGCTCTCACTGTATTCAATTTTTAAAAGTTGAAGTTTCTCCCATTGGGAAAAAAATCATGGCCAACCCTAAATTCCCCTCCACTCCTATCTGACTCAGAACAACACCCTCCCGCCCCCCCCCCCCCGAAATTTCCTGTGACCGCCAATCGCGAAGCTGATGGGAGATTTTACTCATTTATCTCATCCCTCAGCAGAATGCAACACTGTCAAGTCCCTCCTGCTCTCTCTCTTTCTAACATCAAGATTGTTCTTTTTATTGTAAAAATTTTCAAATATTCTTAGCAGCAGGGGAATTGGAAAACCACTCAGGTAGCTGTCAGCCAGTTTCACAACGTTCCTATTTTGCCAGTTCTGTTTGCTCGGTTCCTACACAAACACACACGCCTGTTTTGTTTTGTGTGTGTGTTTTTGCTGGAGGGGTTCAAAGCAAATCCTAGACATCATTCTCTTTCTCCCACTTACACTTTGGTATGTGTCTCTAAACAACAAATTTGTTTAACATAACAAAATATCCATTTATAAAAATTAACAGTAATGTTCAAATGAATTCAGGGTTAACTTAAAAAAATTAACAATCCCTTAATATCATCTTATGTTCAGATTGTACTTACATTTCCCAGATCGTCTGACAAATGTCTTTTGGCAGTGAGTTGGTTTAACTTGGGATCCAAGCAAAATCCACACATTGCCTTAGATGGATCTATCCCTAAGTCTCTTTTCATTTATGACAGTTCCCCTCGCCCTTCTTCTGCACCCAGTTGTTGAATAAACCAGGTCACTGTCCTTCAAATGTCTCCATGGCACGGATGGGATCCCCTGGCGTCATTTAGCGTTTTTCTCGAACCTTTATGTTTCCTGTAAACTAGGACTGAGGTGGAGGGACTGGATGAGATGCAGGGTTAGGCAGTGGGAATGACCATCTACCTGCTGGCCTGTGGGATGGGCAATTTCTGCACCTGCCGTACAGCTCTCAAGCTCACTGCCCACTTTCTCTAAAGGATCATATATGTAGTAGCACCTTGTCAATCTGAAAAGGCTGTGGCCATTAGAGTTGTAGGTAAAATCGAATACTGGGTGGCTTGGCATCTAGTTGTTACATGGCCAGTGGAGAGGGAAAAGGTGCCTAGATGAAGGTTAACAGGCTTTGTGCTCTGGGGGTGGCTGAAGGAAAGGGGCAAGAGGCATTGAACTCTGTACCATGCCTAGAGCTGGAGGAGGCCGATCATACGTGCTCCCGTCAGCTCAGGAAAACTCAGGTCCCTGGTTAGAACTGTGTGTCCATGTTCCCAGGCTCCTCAGGTCAGAGTAAATAATAGAAAGGATCCTGTGGAATAAAGCCCTCGGGTTTTGTTGACTCTGCAACTCTCCAGAACAAGCAGCGAGCCTCAGGAACAGAAATAAAATTCATGCCGAGTTATTTCCCAGCCTTTTAAAACCTAAGCTGTGTTAGATAAACATAAAGATCTCACGTCCCTCCTGGGGTTTGACACCCCCACATGGGAAAAATCAATCTGTTTTATATACCCTTTGGCCCAAAGGATTTTGTAAACCTTTACTTTCCGTAGATTGTTGTAATAAAAATGATCAGTGTGCTTTGTGTTTTGTTAGTTTGTTTCCCAAATACATACTGATGTTGTACCAACAGATGGGCTTTTTAAAAATTGTACACATGCTTTTCTAAGAGTTCTGCCCAAATGATTTAAGTCCTGTAGTCGGAAGAGTGGAGTCTCTCCACTGGCTTTTATTCCAACATGAGAGGCGAATTCTACAGAGACTAAGCCAACGGTTTTGGCAAATGTTTTCTTCCTTGTATAGGCTATTTATTTATTTTGTTAATCCTC